GCAGTGCTCAGGAGCATGTACAGTATGTTGTGCTTGCCAACAACAAGTCAGCAAACCCATTTTTACCTGACATTATTGCTGTAATCACAGAAGGCCTCCCTATGATGTCGGATAAAGAGGCAACTGCTTTAAAGAGTTACAAAGAGGCACTTGTGTGTGTGTGTGCCCGGACTCCTAAAGACAAAATGCTACACATCCCTATTTAACATTGCATTTCTCATGTCCTATTTCTGATGATATGTAGGTTTTGAGCAAAAAGTTTTAACTATTGAACCATTTGCTGAAAGGATCACTTAAAAGCAGTTAGCAGAAAAAGGCTACCAATTCTAACTTTTTATTTAAGGAACGTGACTTCCCCAAAACCTCCTTTTTAAAGCCCTTTTGAAACAAATGTGATTAATATAACCTCAATATTTTTTTATACCACCTCAATGGAGCCTGCTTATAAGTGGGTACAACTATGAGCCAAACGACTTATCTAAACTCATGGATTTGCCTAAAATTCATGCAATTTCAAATATCCACCCTATAAGGTCTTCCCATTATTAATGGCACTCGTGGGAGATAGTTTGATTTGCAGGTTCTTAAGCACTCAAGCCAAACATTCCTTGTAGAATCTACAGCAGGGGTGTCAAACTCAAGGCCCACGGGCCGCATCCAAAGGATTGACCTGTGGTGCCTCTGCCAGCAAAAACAGAGCTCTGGGTGGGGTGGGGGCGCACATGAGGGTCCTCCTCTCCCACCAGGCTCCATTTTCACTAACAGAGGGTTAGCAAAACAAACTAAAAACAAAAGGAGAAATGTCTCCCCTTTTGCATTTGAGCAAAAGAAGAAAAAGAAGGGAAGAGAGCAAGGAAGGAAAAATAAAGAAAGAGGGGAAGGAAGGAAGGAAGAATGGGGAGGGAGGGAGGGGAGATTATCATGAGAGTGAGGGAGGGCCCGAGGGAAGTCCTGCCTTAGCCACAGGTGCCCCCTCCCACACAAGTGACGTGGAACTGGCCACTCCCCCTCCCAGGTCAAACACAACCCTGACGCGGCCCACAATGAAACTGAGTTTGACAACCCTGATCTACATGTTCTAGCAAGGGACAAAGATAAGCGTTGATTGCTCCCCTTTCCTGCTTCTTAACTTGGTGTGCCATGTAATATCATTTCCCTTCAGCTGAGCCTGGAGGTTGACCAAGCCTGACAATAATGTAAGGCTGGAATCCTGAATCACGATTCCTATAGAAGTCTATCTTAAGCATGCACGAGCAGACCTGAAAGCAATACTCTGGGTTAGGGGTCTCCAACCTTGGCAACTCTTAAGACTTGTGGCCTTCAACTCCCAGAGTTGAAGGCCACAAGTCTTAAAGTTGCCAAGGTTGGAGACCCCTGCTCTGGGTCATATGTAGCAACAGCATATTCAGAGTAATGGTGGCTGTATTTTTATTTCCAGTTCCTTTTCTAGTGATCCTCACCATGCAATTTCTTTAAAAAAAAAAACCAGCCATACAATAGAACAATCTTTTCATTAAGTTGTCCACTATTTCTCTACATTAGTCTTTTCTTGGTAGTGAACCACTACCAATGTTCATCCAAACATCTAGTTTGGACTGGGTTTTGCCCCAACAGTTATGACTTCCTATTTGTTTATATCTATCACTCATTCATACATACACACAATACATACAACATCTATAGCTGCCCATCTCAGTCAATGATTCTGGGTGGCTTACAATTCAAAAAAACATGTTACAGTTAAAATACTAGATATGTGTGAGAGACTGGCTGTGAGGAGGGAGGAAAGGGCTTAACTATAACAAATTATTTGACATCTTTTGCAAACTTGGTTACTTCTCTTCTCATTTATAATTCCAGATCACTTATGAGAAGGTACAAATATTAGGCCCAGTTTCCTAACATTTATCTTGTTTCACTCCATATTTGGAAGAAACGAAAGACAATTTCACCATTACAACTACCTTATTTATGACAGTGTGGTGCTGCACTGATAGACTAACGTTTGCATCAGAAGGGAAACATTAAGTAAAAACCACCCGAAATATAACTTAAGAATATGTGCACCAAAGTACTATCAAAAAAGACAGAAGGTGTGATAAAACTCATTTGGATGCTTTTGAACATTAGATATCTCCAGACAGAGCAGAAAACCTGGACTCTATGATTTTTTTTTAAGAGTATCTGCCATGGATAGATAAAATATATCTGGCAACAGCGGCCATCAGTATAGGACAGTATTGCAAATTATAACAGCTGCATAATTTGCATGGTAAAAAGACTGTGGCAGGTAGAATTTGCACATCACCCTAAACCACAGTTTAGCGCAACTTAGGTAAGTCACAAATCTCCTATTTTCCATTTCTTCAGTACTTTTTACTTTTCTAATTAAATTACAGGTCGTTATTTTGTTAGATGTTAGCTTAAAAAGTTTTGATAATTTTTCAACTTGTTTAGATTAACATATTAACATAACAGCTAAATAACATATACTTAATGTGTTAATCATTTTATCAGTATAGACACTGACCATAACTTAAGCTTTTAATCTCCCAGCCACACAGGAGAGGCAGCCAAGCATTGTTCACTGTGGCTCATTTGGGTGGCAATAAACTATGGTCTAATATGACATACAGATACATACAATCCAATGCTCAAAACAAGATGCCTTTAAATCTTACAAAAAGTACAGAAGATAAAGAAAATCCAATGAAGAAAAAATAATAATTTTTAGCACTCCAACGGAATTATGTCTACTAGCTGAAGTGCAAGGTGATGAGGACACAACTTTGTTTTAAATGGCTCAGTTTCTAGGACCCAGAAAAAAACCAAAACAATTTCTTCACTCATAGCTATGAAATACCACACCTGAACTTTGCTTAATTTTATAAATATATGTGTATGTTACCATAATTTGACTACATATGCAGGCACATGCCTAGTGAATGAAGAGTTGTTATTTTACCAAGGATTTCAGGAATCCAGATGACTATTACTCTGTGGGATTTCATCTAAGTAAACACCATATGTTTTTCTTTCAATTCTTGAGCAGGTGGATTTCACTAATGAATAGTATTATTACCCTATGATTTTCACCCGAAGCTTGAGTTCTATTAAAACCTTCAATTTTGTATCCTTTTTTTTCAAGACTCAGTATTTTCAAAAACCGGCACACAAGTGCATACATATTGTGTGTGTCCATACATACACACACACACACACACACACAGTTCTACATTAACACTTCATATGTAATTTAAAACAGTTGGACATTTATAGCAAGAGAACAAAACATGCCTCTTTTTCTCCCTATTTATTTCTGCATTAACTTACTTTTATTCACAGGTGATATTTACATGTTTTAGCACTTTTATTTTACTATCCTACCCCATGGGTAGAAAAGTACCCACTCTGAAGACAGAGCAGAAGGACATTACAATTACATTTCTATTCTACTTCCAATATGCACAGTTCTTTTAAGAAAATGCCTTCAATTAACACACTACTTAAGCAGAGATAGTAAGTAATTGAATTTTAACTGTTCCAAAACTGAAACATTGAAAGCCATTAAGTGGTAATCAGGCACACCCTACGGTTTCACAAAGATTACTTAAGGTTAGCAAAAGGCTTTGGATTTGTTGAAAATGTTATATAAATGCCAATAGGAGTTTTTAGCATATGAATGCAATCAAGTTTGATGATGTATTTGTAGATTGAAACTGCCTGTAAACAGAATAGGAAGTAGATTAAAGCATTGTAGAAAAGGTAGCACCTCTGGTAACTTCCTGAATTACCCCAATAATCCAAACAGGAGTTTTGGATCCAAATAGATCAGGTCTCCAAACTTGGCAACTTTAAGGCTTGTGGACTTCAGCTCCCAGAATTCTCTGCTCCCAGAATTCTCCAGCCAGCTAGAGAATTCTGGGAGTTGAAGTCCACAAGCCTTAAAGTTGCCACGTTTGGGGACCCCTGAAATAGATCTATAGCAATATTGTTTCAAAGAAATCACCCACCCACCCGCCCACCCACTACACAAATCACTGTAGGTGATGGTTCCAAAAACCAGCCCTTAATGGCTTGGATTAGCAAAGTGGCTGGGAAAAGAATTAACAATGGATAGCTAAAATACCATTTGGAGGTACTGTATTATTCTATTAAAAGAAATCTTCCCTTAAGATTTTCTTCCTATGAAGAAAAATATGCCCATTTCAGACCAATGACCTTGCGACATTCCTCCATATAAACTAATACAAGAGACTGTGTATAACTGTACAAACCTTGCTGTTCCAGGAAGTAAAAAATGTCAAGAGATGCCTGTAACGTTTTGTTTCTCATCCAGACCATGCCAATCTAGCCATTTTAGATAGCTTTCTAGAAGTTCCTCCTCCTCCTCCTCCTCCTCCTCCCACCCCCAGAAGCCAGCTTGGTATCATCCAGTGAAACAGAAGGCTCTGGCATTCACCAGAATACTTTGTTCCCAGAGTAGTTTTCTACATCCTTTCATTTTTGAACTGTATCCTTTCATATTATATTGGGATTATACATTTTAACTCAAGTACGTGATCAAGTATAGCACTGGAAGCATGAGTATTTTAAACCAATACAAGATGTGCAATGTTGGGAGATGTTGCTGATTCTGATTAGCGCTGTATGATAGGGAAGAGATTTACGTTGAACACGTGGCCTTTTATATGAATTTTTTAACTTGCATTCACTTAAGGATTAAAGGGATTCTGATATTGGTGCTTTTAACAATAAATTTTACGTTTGGTTATTTAGAAACAAATTAGGGAGGCTAATTGGCCAAACAATGCAAAGATTCCCATCTCCTTATGGTAAACGTCAGAATATGGGAGATGTCCAAAACCGTCTTCTTCCCCACCACCATTGCCAAGTACATGCCAACTGGAGCAATTCAAATCAGAAAACAAAGCATTTGGCAAAGACCATGACTGGCAAGCTGGCCACTGGCCTACCCATCAATGTTGTGCACAACTGCACTACACGAGCATACCTGCAGCTAGAGGGATAGCACTGCTACTTCTGAAGTCTTCTTCTGCCGTGTTTCTGGCCAAATTCTTCTCTTTCAAGTCATGCACGGCATTATCAAAAGACACAACTTTGCTGGACAAAGTGTCTTCACCAACCAAGGGAGGAAATTTGCTATTAGACTCAAGTATAGAAGAGAAGTCTTCTGGCTGAGAAGCTTCAAGTGACTCCAACTGAGAAGAGCCTTTTGCTTGGGACACGTTCTTGGAAGAAACTGGCAAAGATTCTTCATCGCTGTCAAATCCAAATGGATCTTCTATTGCTTCCTCTTCTACTTTGGGTTTCTTAGGGATCTCAGAAATATCTGGCTTGCTGTTGGGCCTCTTCTGGCCTAGCTTGGCCATAAAGGTAGTTTCTCCCCATTTTGTACTGAGAGTGGTCCGTTTGTTTGAAAAAACTTCATCAAATTTTGAATTGCCATTACCACCTTTCCTGCTATATGTCTTCCCAAATCTGGATGTCATTTTGACGCCTGTTTCATATTCTCTGTGGAAAGAGAGAAAAATTACTTCAAAATACAATTTAAATTTTATTTAAAGGAACATTCACGTATTTCACATTTTAAAATGGTGAACAAAACTCCTGGCATTTTGAAGCTGCATTAAAAAAATCCCTCAAGAGGTGATGAAACCACCCAAAATAAAGGCATCATTCTTTACATGTTGCTTGCACAAAAAGAAAATGCCCAAGAGTTGAACTGAAGAAGTTTGCTTTCCCCCAAAAGTACGGCATGTGAGATCAAGAAAATATTGTGAATGATTTTTTTGTTGACGCAAAACCATTTTTATCTATGGCTAAAAACTCTAACCGCTCACTATGTATAAATCAATATTGCAAGATGAAGAGAAGAAAACAGCTGAAGATGAGGAAACTGTTCCACATTTTAATGTCTCTTACAGGTGCAAGTTTTTTTATAGTGAATATAAGCCAATGCCATCTGTCGAATTTCATCAACCCCGATACACAGATAAAGAAAACATGTCCTCCCTGGCCCCCAAACACTGTGGATATTAATAAGGAATTTGAGAATGTTACATATAATAAATGACTGGTTCTTCAACCAGCATATTTTCACAGATAAAAATGGACAACTGTTTACAGCTAGGCTTATAATATCTCAGCCTGATCCTGGAGGGCCATTCTCAGGTCCTCATAAACCAGCCTACATAATGAATGAATTCGGGCCATATAGTCAAAGTATACTTCAACTTGTAATGTGACCCCAGAGAAGTCCGTTAAGTGATAACTGTGGTAAACAAATCCTGTGAATACAGTCCATATTTGTTAATACATTTTCCCACATAAACACTCCGAGTCATCTCCAAAGTAGAGTGTATTATTCTAGCCAACTGTCTAGGCAATATAGTCATGACTGATTATTGCCAGACTATAAAGAGAATCACACTTTTTTTCACCAGGGGACCATTTTAAAAAAATGGTCTGTGTATAAAACCAATCTTAAGAATACTCTGAGACTGGTATTTGACTAAAGAGCATGAACATTAACGAACTTAACCTAAAGGCATATTTACATACTTGAATGTTAACTGGATTACAGTATTTACAATACAGAACATCCAGTTAGGCCACTGGCTTTCTACCTGAAAACACGCCTACAGCACCTGTTCATTGTACAGCTTTTCTGAACCTGAATGCTCCAGGTGCATTAAAATATATCAAAACTTTCTAGATATTAAGGTAGTGGGATTGGAGCGATCTGGAGATGTTTTGTACAAAAAAAAAATGCTAACAGAACAGGTCCCAGGTGATCTGTACTCATATAAGGAACTAAATTTGGCAGATAGGAACACTGGTGGCATTCATCAACGTATTTTAGCAATAGCTGCCAAATGATTTCTCTCACCAAGGAAGTCTACTGTCAGGAGACATGGTCAAGTGTAGTATTACTGGGAAGAAAAGAAAAAAACCAAGAGGGAGACAGAAGCTGCTGTAGCAGCAGCCAAGGAATCTACCTACTTCACTATAAGATGGTGATTAACAACTGGTATTTACTTTTTTGAAACTAAAAAGCGGGGACATCTTTGAATCTTTTATCTATTCCTTCTTCCCAGTAAGCTTTGAACATACAATCCCAGTCCTGTCCCTTCGCTATATCTAATTCCCTCCAATCCTATCCTGCCCCTGACTGTGTTTCAGCTTACCGGGTCCTTCTTTCCCCCAAAAAAGCTTCGATCACTCAATCTGATCCTGTCCCTGACTGAGAGATCCAGTTTGCAGCTCCACTGGCTTTCCCTCGCCGTATCTTATTCTATCATCCCCACCCTCCTGGTTTTTCACTGGCAGGAATAATTTCAAGAAACCCAGGATCTGCCAGGGCAAAACTTCAGTCAGCCTCTGCAGACTTGGCATTAAGGGAGGGTGAGAGAGAGAACATCTTATTATCTTTTCTCTCCCTACAATTAGGTCTAATTAGGCTAGGAAGTTTCACGCTCCCAAGCAGCTCAGCCAAAGCCTTAAATTAGACAAGCCTCGTCTGAAATGACTCCTTTAACCTACCATTGGGAGAAGCCAGGAGTACCTATAGGGATTTTCTTTCTTTCCTCTGCTTCCCTCCCTCCCTACCTTCCTTCCTTCCTCTGCTTCCCTATTTTCTTTCTTTCCTTCCTCTGCTTCC